CCACGAAGATATGTAATAATTACATACCATTATTAATAATTTTAATTTGATGAACTTCAACCCCCACGACAGAGAGGGAATCAATTGCCAATGAAATGTGTTTGGGACGGGGTTGCAAATAATTATTTTGCAAAGCAATTTATTGTTGCCAAACCAACGATTAAACACTTGAATCGATAAATAATTACCTATCCACAATGNTATAACAATATTTAAAAAAAAAAAAAAAAAAAAACAATCATTTCAAAAAGGTGTCCGAATCATTTCACACACGCTCGATAAGAGACAAAGTTCTTCATTTTTCATGCGACAGTATTACATCTTTATTCCTCCGACACCAACATAACATACAAAAATATGGCATTCATCCTTTTAGTTTAAAGTACACTAAAAGCGCATTTTACTGGCACTGAATAAAAATAAATTGTTACAAATTTGGTGCTCGCGCACCGACAGAGTATACCAATTTTGTCATGACTCGCATCACTCAATCCCAGCCGAAGATCCTTAACGGGTCACGATCATATGGAAGATGAACAAAATCTGAAGGCGCCTCTTCGAAACTCGGGAGGAACAATCGCCGCAAGTCGCGACGACCAAAGCGACAATCCAGATAAATGAAAAAACGCGCACAAAATGCAAGTGAATTGCACATTTCGGATTTTTCTTTTTCAATATTATGCTTGAGCTCAAAAGATTTGGCATGACGCGAGTCCTCTCGTGAACAGTCCATATCGTGATAGGACCGGCCAAAAATGACCTGTCCTTTAAACCACGAAGTCAACAAAAATAGTAGAATCAAGAAAAGCTTGGTTCTTGGCGTAGCAAAATTCAAAGACTACACTTTCGCTAAACGTAAAAAATGCATGATCTCCTCCTCCTCTCCTCGGCGATCGTCCTAAAATTACAAATTTTTTTTTTGCGCAGCGCAACAAGCTCATCGGTTATTTATTTATTTTTATTTCTGATTTCAAGCATGTCTCTATAACACCGTATATTATTATTATTATTATTATTATTATTATTATTATTATTATTACGACTCGTTTCAATTCAACTTCACGCGTACTCGACTGCGGATTGCAAATGGTACTTAAACAATTTTTTTTTCTTTTTATTTAAATTTTACTACCTAAAACCACAATTTGAGCGCTTTTTCAGTCTCAAGCACATTCAGCAGCGTTCATCTTTCGACCCGATCACACCTTATCTTTTAACTTTACACATAATTCACAGCTGTATATATTAATCAAAATCATAGTCGTCGCGGTCGTGTTTGTCTGTTATGAACGAAAAAAAGCACGGTGCTTCGGTACTTACATTTTACGAGTCTTATACATATTAATTTTCACAATGGAGTTCATCAATTTGCATTTTATATCGTCTCGATGGCTTCAAACTCATGCGTCTTTTGATACACTTGTATTATACGCACGTTACACCCTAATTACGACCGCTTCTCTCCCAATTGCTTAGTACACAATTTGTTTTTTCTCGTATATATATCTACAGCGCAATTTTCACTCGTTATCCTGCAAGTTCATTTCTGTCCTTGGTTTTTTTTTTGTTTTTTGTTTTTTCCTCTCTTTTGATTACATTTGCAAGCGCGAGAAGGGATAAGAGAAAAGGACGATGACGCTCGGAGCGAGCGTAGGCAGTGAGTGGTTCATTACATGTTCTTCATTCACACACTGATTATGGTGTACGTAGTCATGTATTTAAGTATGTATGTATTAGAACGTCCCTTAACTTCCATTCAAATATTTATATATATTTTTTTTTTCTACTACGTTATATTGAAACTACCCGATTGCAAATGAATATTTACACATTGAAGTTTTTAATGAAAATATACAATTTTGAGTTATACAAGTGGTTGGCCAATAAAATTCATTACGAGAATCAAGGGACTCTCTGTTACATGCAAAAATACAAACATATTTATGTACACACTCTTTTCAATCATTCAGTCCGTCATCAATTACTTTTATTCTAAGTTATTTTTACAATTTGCTCGCACGTCTTAGCATATCGAGTTAAAGTGGAAACGTGAATAAGTTCGTCGAGAGAAGCTTTCTTTTTATGTTCTTAATCATTATTATGTTTATAGTTCTTTCGTTTAGATTTAATTACTATTTTTTTTCTTTTCTTTCATCCAATAGAACCGCGCATCACTTTGAGGCGAGGCTTAACAGTTACATTTGCGTATCCGTGTATCTTTGTTTATCACTTGCAATTTTTACGCACATACGTGACAAACTCGCGCACATGCACGCGCAAGCGCCAATTGATTATTACGTAGGAAAAAAAAAAATGTAAATGCTTTGTACGTGATGATCAAATACGGGTTTTTTCTCTGTACTAAAATTATAACGAAAACAAGAAGAAGGTCCCCTTTTTTTGTCTCAAGATTGTAAAACTCGTTGAAAGGACTGTATATAAAATTATAATAGCATTTCCATATATTTATTTATTTAGTTACATCGATTTAAGTTAGGATTTTTTTCATTTTTAAAATTGTGAACTCTACAAATCTATTGATTATGCATACGCACGTATGTACATACATGCCTATAGAATAAAATTATACAAATAGAAGAAATAAAATTTAAAATATGATAAAGACTACATCAATTTAACAAAAATTCAACACATATTTATATATAAAAGGAAAATAAAATAAAATTCAATCCAATATCGCACTTCACACATGATGCTTTCTTTATTAAATATTTAGCAATAATTGCACATATGTTGATTTAAAAATTTATATAAATATGCTCACTTATATAATACGTTCCATAAATTTGGCTGTTAATTCACGATTAAAGGACAAAATTCATACAAAAAATTTGATTTTTAAAACTATCAAACCATTTCATATTTCATTGGAACGTTATCTTTCTGTTNATCTACACTTTGTGCACGGGTATACTATACGGAACACCCCCGGACCCACGGATGTTAGGAGGGCCGTCGAAATTGAATCTTTCTCCGGCACTCGCTCTCTCTCGGCGTGGATCCTCCCTCGATCCTGGCACCCACGCCGATGCCCACCCATCCGCGTATCGCCGGAGCACATTACGTATGCGAAAGAGATGGATCTTCTTCCGACAGCGGAGATTCCTCGGTTCTTATATACACCGCTGACTCGCCGAAACACCATCCATTCCGTGGTCTCTGGGACTTATTTTACCAAAGTGATCGATGCACACGTGGAATGGAACAATTTGGTCTATGGATCCTTTGCCTTCCTCTCGGCAGGACAAGGCGAGAGCCGCTCATTTTAGAAAACTCGTACATGAAAACGCCACATGCGTGCGATATACACACGTGCCGCGCCAACTGCTGTTGCGACTGTCGCGAATTTTCCACGGCACGTCAAAATCCGCCGCCGTCACCGGTGCCCGTTCTCGTGTTTCTCGGGTTTTTCCTCCGCGAGAAATTCGTCGGGCGTAAAAGTCTGACGAGGCGGCTTTGGATCCCAATGGCTTTGCCACATCCCTTCGTCCGCGCATGTATATATATATGTACATGTACGTACTCGCCAAAAAAGCTCGCGTATGAGCTCCCGAGCGCGCGCGTCACATCCGACGAGCTGAAATTTATGCCCCCCACTTTTTTTGTTTATTTTTTTTGTTTTTTTGTTTTTTGTTTTTTCGACGACTCAGTGAAAGAAAAAAACGAATAAAATAATTAAAGTTTATACATTTTATTCCAAATTCATCTTTGTAGCATTTTTACCTCATCAGGATATTTTTTTCATATTCCTCACTGTTCTTAGTTGTACTTTTACTAGACATTGGACAAATACAATCTGATCAATGATTGATTTTTTAAAAATATTAACTCACAATTTACATATATATACATACACGTATATTTATATGTATATATACATAAAATTTCTTGTATCTTATTCGTCTAATAATTAATTTTATATATACACACACGCTCACACTAACACACGTATGTATATATGTATATGAAATCAAGTAACATTCTGCAACCAGCCAAACTTTATTAATTAAGCTAAGCTATATAAAAAGGTAACAAATTCGACGCATGTGAAGTATGAAAGTAAATCAGTTCATTGGTTCGTCGGAGGGGTTATATTATGTAAGACGTGTTTTTTTCTATGTTTCTTTTATTTATTTCATTTTAAAAGAAATTCATTAAAAGAGATCTTTCCTTTTCAACCTTTTTTTCAAAATTATCTTTCGGTTCCTTTTTTACTGTTACAAATTAATATTCTCCACTTTGCGAACAGATTTTATAGACACAGGACGTCAATTTCGAGTCTTGGATCAACCTACACATCCGTGTTTTTTCTCTGAACTAGTGGTCACCGATTCACTACATCTTCGCCCCCATTGGCATTTCGTTAATTATTCAAATTCATCCATTTAATTCCTTTCTTCACTTTACAACTACCTAAAAATTTTATCATTTTTCATCGTCAAATGTTATCGCAAGGACCGACTAGGCGCGTAAAAGAGTTTGCAAAAATGACCACGTGAGCGCGCTGCACAACTTTTACTTTTACAAATGGCTCGACATCCTTCGTTCAGCCGACTCACTGGTCCTTTTTTGTTACACAATCGGTCAACTGTTGCTGTTGTTCGTCATCCACACCCCTTCGACCACTCGATTTCTCACACTTTGGAGCCCTTAAAAATTTTCAACAAAAAATGAGCCTTCGACTAGTCACCCGTCTTGTGCACGTACTCGCAGTCTATAAATAATTATATACTCGTCATAGTCGCTCCTCCTGATTATAATTATCATACCGTCCGTATACGACTTTAACACAGACAAACACGTTACGTGATACACGAATTAGCGTCAATGTCTTTCTATCTCTCTCTCTATTTCTCTCTATCTATCTATCAATATTTCTCCTTATTTTATTTTATTGTTACAGATATTTTATTTTATTTTATTTTATTTTATTTTATTTTATTTTATTTATTTTTTATGGTTTAGTTGATCGCAGAAATATGAGAAAGAGAGAAAACAGCGCGACGGACGGTTGTAGTTAAATTAATAATCATCAGAATTTTTGTAAATAAGACTGTTGTGCGTGTGAAATCGCGACTTTATTCGCATCGAGAGTCGACGACTGACGGTTTGCATTATTTATTTTATTTTATTTTTTAATTCCTTATTTTTATTTTCTTCTGCGCTATAGGGGTATCAACTGCTGCTGCTGCTGCTTAGCGGGGCGCTCTCCGCTGGTCCCGTACAACCTACCCCGTTCGTATGTGCCCCCTTTAATGAACAATTCGCTAGCTTTGCTGCTGACGTGTTATTCTTGTACGATTGTTTGTCAATGAATACTTTGCATCTCAGCGTTCGATGCGGGGCGAAAAGAGACGATGGGGAGAGCAGGCTCTGACAACTTACACCAAATTGTATTCCTTCAGGTTCGACTGTAGTATTGTGTCCTTGACTGCGGCGAATACGAATCTAATGTTCTCAGTGTCTGTGAATCAGAAAATTGATTTTTTTTTTTTTTTAGTTGATTTAAAAATTTATATAAATATGCTCACTTATATAATACGTTCCATAAATTTGGCTGTTAATTCACGATTAAAGGACAAAATTCATACAAAAAATTTGATTTTTAAAACTATCAAACCATTTCATATTTCATTGGAACGTTATCTTTCTGTTAAATTTTTTTACCGACAACATAATATGAATAAGGCAATTTCAAATACCTATTTTGAAAAAAGACTAGACCATTGCTTATTGGAGACAAATCGCATTTAATTTTGAATTTTTGTTCTTATCAGAATATATTTACAAAAAATACGATTAGTTGATTCAAATTTCTCTAAAATTTTAATCATTATATAATTTTTGCAATGGTATATCGTATTTGAAAAACCAATTCTCATTATGTGATGTACGATATTATAAGTTCATAGAAATATCACGTACAAGTTGTCAACATGCATTTTTGTAAATAAAAAAAAAATTTAATTTTGCAAAACACTTAATCAAAGGCCTACCGAATTATTTTCTCGTGATTATTTATTTTAGTCTCGCTATCCTAGGTATCTTTTGTATATATTAATATATAACAATATTTATACGATGGTTTTTTAAAATTTAAGTTACGTGCCGAAAGAACTCTCAGTCGTTTCTGGCACAATTAGAGAAAAAAACAAGTAACTTTGGTTCTTTATGTCTAACGAATGACTGCAATAAGAATACCATACTAGCAAATGGCACTAGAATGGCTCTCACTTGTGTCTTTCAACTTATTCACACATTAAAAAAAGCTTTTAGTACCGACTCTTATTTATTCCCATTTTCTAATTATCTCTCATACTTGCACTTACACTTGCATACGTTCCTCGAATTATTTTTTTCTTTTTTTCTTTTTTTTTTTTTTTCTTTTT